ACCATCAGAGAGACTGTAACAGTCCAGTACATTATGGTTGCATTCCTTGCTAGTTAAGTCACTATGGTAAAATCCTTGGCAGGATTTTTTTTCAATAGTTTATTCATGATGTTCATTATTATGAGTTGTAAAGAGTATGAGAATTTCATTTTTAAAATGTCTTATGGAATGTATCACTTTCTTAGATCTTGTAGACATGCTGTGGAAACCATAACATAAAATATGAGTTACTTACAATAACTAATTTTAATCCCATCTGCTAAGTATGACAACATTAGCATTTCCACTTAATTAAAAACACCCTTAAAGCAGCGATGTTTTAATCACTCCATTTTATTTACTCTCCTCCGGTGTCACTTATAATTGTAACTTTTTATTTTTTAATAATGAGGGATTTTTTTTCTCCTTGCATCACACAAAAAAAGTGCTGTCGATAATTAGCAGTCTTCTGTTATTAGTAGACTCAGGTGTCACAACTGTGTCTCATCCTCATTATAGTAAAAAATTTCACCTATCAGATTCATTATTGCTAGATAATGCGACTGAGAGCCTTTGCAGGCCCTCCAGAAAAGTAATTCAGCCAAGCAAAATTATCAGCTAATTATATTTAGAATCAAAAGCCCAACAACTATTTGCAGATAAATTGTATGAATTGAAGTGAATAGATCTGAATATTAAGATTCATAGATTTAGCTGATGATTTGTTAATTGGAATAAAAAGGTCATTTACTAGTCATTTTAACAATAGATCAATTGGAACCCTATTTATTATTTAACTGGTAGTGCATAAGGATCGGAAATAATGAATAATTGTATTATCAGGAATGTTTTCCAGAATAACAAAATAGGAGGAACTTATGAGGATGCTGTGTGATTTATTTTTAAATATTATAGGCTTGTTCGTGTATTTTAAAATGTAAACTTAAGCTAAATAATAACATTAGTATTTTAACAAGTCCAAAACTAGCTGAAAAAGATTGATCTGGTTTATTGAGTTAGAACTTTAACTAGGAAGTAGATGCTTATTTGTTTTTTTTTTAATTTTTCCTCTTATATCAAATAATGCTGTTCCTAGCTTATTGTATGACATTTCAATTGATAGAGACATTTTGGACATAGTGTGTTATATACTCCTACAACAACTCAAAACGTAAGTCAGCCTGTAATGATTTTCTTTTAGAGTATAGAATAATTCAAATCCATTATTTAAAAGCAGATAATATGCTCTTTCTGAAAAGCCTGTTACTTCACTCTTAATTTATGTAATTATAAGAGAATGTTCATATGTATTTGCTTTTCCATTGGCACAGCATTTTAAAACTGAGTGACTTCAGACATCATGCTTATTTTCTTTTGGTTCGTGAAGTACATCACAGGCTGATATGCTCAAAAGTTTCTTAATGATTTGTGCTACTGCACAGTGTAGTTTATATCTGTGCTTTTCAGACCTGCACATGGAGAAAGGGGTTAGATAGCTTGTTTACTAAAAGTAATGGTTGGTTGTTAAAACCTTTGCATTTCTATTGTGTTTTGTGAAAAACTTAGCATTTTTCCAAAAATTGGAGCTCAAAGTAAATACTTTCCCTTTATACTAATTTCAGTTTAACGTAATAAAAATAGGGAAAACATCACCACTTAAAAACAGTTTAAATTGCATGTACTCTGTCACTGTAAATAAACAAGGTAAACATTGACATGACTTCAGATCATTCTTGGACTGAAAAAAATATGCAGTTCAAAATAAATTCTGCCGTTGGTCAACATTTTGGATGCAATTCAAAGTTTCTCATAAAATAAACATATTTTAAAGAGTGTTTTGAATTTCACTGCATAATTTCTAGCCAACAGAAATGACAGTGGTATCTTCAAGGTTTATGATATGTCAGATCAATAACCATTATGCAAACCGAGCAAGACTGCAAGGGGCAATACCTTCCCTCTGCTTAGCCCCCTCCACCACTGCCACAAGGAGGAAACCTCCTGTAGATGCTCCCTGGGGAAACTCACAATGCAAAACTTTGTGTTTGTTTAATAATAAAAAGTATTCTTTCCTGATAAAATAGAAAGTAAGCTGAATTTTTAGTCAGAAAAGCAAAATGTTCATTAAAATGATCTAAACAAGAGTTTTGCCACAAAGGGAGAGTTTTACATCTGCATAATAACAAATTGTTTCAGAGCATGAGCTTGAAATGAAAATGCCCCATCACAACAGATTGTAAATTTTTTTCCCTGTGCTTTTAAAAGTGCCTCGATCGTTTCTACGGCTTCCCTGCTAAAGTATTTGCTATTTTATTTAAACATTTTTTGAGAAATGAACATTCTGAAGCTTTGCAGCATTATTAAGAAAAGCTGTCCATACTTTCCCATGTTGTTGAATGTGTTTATCTGCTGATTATAAAATGTGTTAAACAGTATTTTAGAAACAACAAAAATGCAGCACTGCGCTTTGATTAATTCAGTGAACAAAGCATATGCTGCCGGTTCTGTCCCATGAAAGTCGGGTATGATCAATAAAATCCTGCAAAGAGCAACTCTGGCATTTAGGAATACACTGCCGACCATGATTTTTGTCCCACTTAGCTTTGGGCTCATACTGCTATCTTAAACAAACAGACCCCTTCTGACTGTGATGCTATGCCTGCTGTACTCTTGTCCTGTCTCTGACATTTCTGCAGGTTGGAAGCTGTGTACTGTGGCTGTTACCCACTTTGTCCCAAAGACTTGGTTTATCCTGAAATATTTCCAGGTAGCTGCTTTCATGTGCTTTTTCTTTGTTGTGATTTAATACAGGATTCATGCTAAACTAAAAGTTTGAAAATAAACTTAAGTAGGAGCAATTGTTTATTTGGCAAGTCAACATGTTAGTGTTAAGGAAAAATTTATGTGTTTTAATACATTAGAGTAAGCTTATATTTACCATCTGTTCTTTTAAGATAACAAAAAAAGCAAGTTTTCAAATAGCATTCTTCATTGTTAGCATACACATCTCATAATGACGGGTTTTTATAAGCAGGTCAGTACTGCTGCAATTGCTAACAGATTTTTTTTAATGATACACACAGAGAAAATTCAAGGATAGAAAGTCATACCAAATTCTTTAAACAATTGACTAGTTAATAATATGCAACTGTTGTACAGAGTGCATACAGCTATAGTACTGGTTCTTTCAAAAAATTCTCATCACTAAATATATCACATATGCATTGTGCTACATTAGAATAATGTATTTTAATCACCCAGAGGAGATGTCTAAACAGCACAACTACACAGTCTTATTTAGCATTAAACATCCTTGTGAGCTGAGGTAACCTTATAAAATCATGCTTAAATAATGTAAAACATGAGG